GAAAGATGTGAATAAAATGAACACAAGTTTATTTAAAAAGTCAGCCTGTGGTTTTAATTAAACCTTTCTAACATTCTCTGGTTTTAATTTCTTACAGGAACTGGAAATCCTTCATACTCAAGACGCAGTTGTGGATCCAGGAATGTTGCCTGCCAGTGAGTCAAGTAGGAAAGTTCATCTGTCAAAAATACTTGCTGAAGGTAAGATTTTTTAGCAAATCTCAGAAATGATTTATGGTCGCTTGCTAGATATAACTGTAAAAGGAAACATAAAGAAAAGTTTAAGTATAAAAATATAGGTGATTTTTAAAAATCAGCACAAAATTTTTTCTCTCTTGTGAAAAATCAGTCTTTCAAAATTAGGGTATACATTCAAAAACTAACTTGGCTTTGAAATTGTTGATAAACTCATGAGGTAGTTTTCTCAAAGTAAACCAGTGATAACTGAATTTAGATTCCAAAGATGCTTTCTCATCATAGTGGTAGATGATAGATAAAAATTTACTATACTTGTGATTTATTTCAAGTGCATACATACTAATATAATAATATACATATATATAATATGTTGTTTTATATATATACACACATTAGATAGCAATATACATATATGTATATATATATATAACATAATAGTATTTCCTTTTCTTCTAACTTATGAAGAGAAACATAGGAAATAACAACTAAATGCATCCCCTCAGTATATGTTACCATTTACATTTATAAATTTATTGACTTACCATTTGATCAGAAAACCCCCCTGTTGCCCCGAGAACAAATTTTTGCCCAAATCTAATGGGTTCACCCATTTCACCTCCATCAACACTGCCAGAACAAAAAAAGAAAAAAAAAAGGGGGAATTTGAATATATCACTTTCTAGATAATTTTTGTGTTTAGGTCTTGTGACACCATTTCATACTAAGTTTATTTTTTAGAATACATAAAATATATTAACTGAAAAGATGCTTCTTAGATCATTTACTGGTTAAAATATGTAACAAAATAGAAATTTGAACTGTATTCATTACTATTTAAGATATATTAACTAGTGTACAGATTGGAAAGAAAACATCCTATGGAAAATTAATTGAAATTCAGTACAGAGTTCCTCTGAAAAATATACTTAACATATACATCTGAAAAATCACAAACTAAAAGCAGAACAGTGATTCCCTGTAACTTAATGTATGTGGTTATTAATATATGTAATAGATATTTAGTAATTTGGTTCCCTAGATGAACATGTATGGTAGTTCATGCCTACTTCCAGAATTCTTTCTGCGTTTTACAATACAGAATTACCAAATTATATGACAGTGTGTTCTGGGTATATTCAGAGTCGAAACCTGTGCAGCCTAGGAATTGTGTAATCAGGTAATGAGGAATTTCATGGCATTTTGGTTGCAGTTCTACAAGGCCTAAATTGTGCTCTTATCAAAATTCTTTATTAGGGTTAACTGTGTTTTACTGAATCAGGGTCAGCTTGAGCACTATTATTATTGTTAAATACATGCATTCTGTTGTTGAGTAGGACCCTGTTCTTCTGTTTTTGCTTCCCAAATAGCTAGAATTAAAGATGTCTTTCAGATACTTTTTTTTTTTGAGAGCAAAAGCACTGTACACATTATGTTCAGCAAAAGCAGATGCCAATTTTTTTGCAAAGTCCTCCTTTGCAGTAGTCAAACATTTTTAAGGAATTACGGGAACTACATATTTCAGTAATATATATGTAGTCTTCATTTCTAAGCGAGGATGGGTCATGTTTTGTGTTCTACAGCTGAAATATAACTGTATTAAAAACAGCCTCGGAGCTTACCGAAACATCTAGTGAACTGGATGCTGCTTTCACACCAGTTCTGAACTGGTGTCAGTGCAACTTCCTTGGGGTTATGCACAGTAATATGCAGAAGAGAACCAGGGTTAAGGCGTAACTTGGGTTAAAGAGTCTGTCTTTGATGGATTAATCTCACCCAAATTCATTTGCATATTAGCAAATTCCATATTTCTCAAAATAAAGCATGGATATCTAACATAATAATTAAGAACTACTCAAAATAAGGTACCAAACCTTAAGATACAAAAAGTATTTCGACCGATAGGGTCCGTGCTTTTGGCTGCACTAACTCCGCAGGGAGCTTGCAGCGATGCGGCCGAAAACATGGAGATTTCGTCCAGATCCACGGCCAAGGCCAGCCTGCCGCACACGCCGGGGTAATTCTCCATCACGGATTTGTTGTTATCTGGGCTCAGAAGCATCACGGTGTCTCCAAAATGAACAAATCCATCCTTAGACAGAGACAGCTTCACCTAATTGAAAATACACACAATTTAACATGGAACTACTTGAACTTAAAATCCTGAGTAGTTGAGTGTTTGTGATGCATGGACTGCTGTGGAGCCACACCAGACTGCTAGCTGCTGCTTTATGAGGTTACCTTCCTTAAGAGGTTATCCTGGAGTTTACCGCACTTCTGTATGAGGAGTTCTCCGCGCTCCCTCCTCCGCCGGAAATCCTCCAGGAGCTCCTGCTCGCCAACGAGAGCGGGTAGACGCGTTAGCCCGCGCCCGCAGGCTCAGGTTCGCTGGGGCGCGGAGGGGAAGGGCCATGCGGGGAGGGCGGCTCGGGTTCGCTGGGCTCGGCTCGCCGGGCCGGGCCGGGGCCGCCGCGCACCTCTGCCAGCGCCGCGTCCTCGCTCCAGTTGCCGATGCGCACCCCGGCGCTGTAGGCGGCCATCGCTGCCCTGGCCGCCCGGAGTTGACGGTCGCCATGGAGACCGCTCCAGCGGGCGATTGGACGCACCTGTGCAGCGCGCACCAATGAGCGGGGCGAGCAGGGCGGAGGGGGCGGGACTCTCCTCGAAGGCGGGAGGGGAGCGAGCCGCCATGGCGGCCGGTGGGAAGTGACGCCGTTGCTAAACGGCGAGCACATGAGGGGAGCGCTTTAGTTGCGGGTGTTTCCGTTAATGATTTATTTATTTTTTGATGCTAGGCTAAGTGAGTGTGGTCTACATTTACTTTTTAGATAGTCTAAGCCAGCTTTTTGCAGGGAGGATGTTGATCCTTGCACAGAGCATTTAATCCCTTTATAACACGCGTGTTTATCTTGCAAGCTCAATGTTGCAGGCAGGTGTAGTACGCTGGGCCATTCATAAAACGTCAAGTGATTTTTGTATGAGCAGTTGGGTAGCATGTTATCATCAGCCAGAGTTTTGACAGTTATTTTACATGAAAGCTGGCAGTTTTGGTTTTGTGCCAAAAGTTAGTAAGCAAAAAAACTATTCAGAATGACTCAAAGCCTTAGAAGAAAAAATCCATTTTTGTTCTAATAGCTCCACATAGTGGCTAGTTGATGTAAGTGAATTTTTCCTGCGCTCAGCTGTATTGAAAGAGATGGGGAAACCTAAGCATCCCATTTCTCAGGTGTTTAATTTAGAAATAGGCAGGAAATGCTGCTTTTGTGGCTTAATCCCAGCATGGTTTGAAAGTATCAGATGTGACCTGAAGCCTGAAGGGTTTGCATTCCACAAGCATTAATTAATTTTCTGTGTTCCTAGTACTTTCTGTTGAGCACTTCAACCAAACAACTTGAACCAAGCCATGGTCGTGTCTTTCAGAGAACTGCAGATATAATTATGTTGACTTGCTAATGCTTTGTATTATGTTATGTGCTTGTATGCAAATGCTAATGTGGATTTATCCAATTCAGTTACAACTGCATAATATATTAGAACTTTCAAGATTTACTTCACTTATCGGACTATGCACTTTCTAGGTAGTTTCAAATCTTCAAATCTTTTTTTTTCATTTTAAAATGAAGCCACTTTTTAATAAGTATATACTAACAGATGAACATTATAAAAGTATATATTGTCATGAGCCATATTGTTAAGAACCACCCCCGCACTCTGTTCTGGTTGAACCACCCTGCAAATGGCTACATAAATGGTGACTAAAATGCATCTTCTCAGTCTATGTTACCATTTACATTTGCAACTTTATTGAGTTAACCATTTGATCAGGCACTCCCCCACTGCCCTTAGACCAATTTTTTTTCCATATCTAATGCATTCCCCCTTTTCACCTTCATTATTGCTGTTAGAATTTAAAAGAAAAAAAAAAAAAGAGAGAGAAATTCAAATATATCACTAATATGTAGGATAAGCAGTATTCTTCCATAGTTTTTGCAGCCTGCTGCATTGTCATTCTGTTGTGGATCACTCTGTTACTTATACAGTCTGATACAAATACTACACGTAAAAATGTGTTTATACCCATCATTTATTTATTTACAGAAACTTCTTTTTGCATCTCATAGTAGGGCTATGCAGTGGCTATCCTTGTCACTTGGAAAACTTTCATTTCTGATCACATAGTATCCCCTAAAAACAGCAACAAAAAAGCTTTTAATAAATATGTGTATATAAGGTGAGAATCTTTATTGTGGGGAATGCTTACACACAAATTCAAATCAGCTCAGTTTCTTTCAGATCTGATACAAACTACCCTTACTTTTAAGAAGTTGTTTGTGTTGCTAAATGGTACAAACAAAAGCTGTGTTTGTGAAGGAACAGGTGAAGGTTTTGTCTGATAACTTATTCCAGCATGCAAATGTACCAACTTATACCTATGTTGATTAGTGGAAACCTGAATGTTTCCCTATTTTGCTTTCAGTCTTAGTTTCATAGTCATCATTTGCAGTGTACTTGAGAAGACAGATCATGTTGTATAATGGTAAAGAGGTGACACTTGACTCCTCCCCTGCTATTCTAGAGTCACAGTTCTTTTTTTCCTTTTTTTATGAAAAGAAGAAAAGGGAGAGAAAAAAAAAGAGAGAACATGATGGTTGAGAAGATCTGAAATAGCATATAGAGCTGTGCACAGTAGGTCTAGACTATTAACTTACATAGAATATGGCTGGACTGGTTAGGCCTTAAATTTCAGGTACATGTGAGGAAGAACATCTTTTTAAATACTTTTAATTTATGAATGTGTTCATGTGTACCTACCTTTTTTCCTGTTTTGTTTTTCCCTTTGAAGAAAAATTGTTAATGCACCAATTTGATTAACAATATAGAATAAATAATACTGCAGAGAAGTAAAACTTATATTCTCCAGGAGCGTTTGTCTCCTTTCATTTTACTATTCCACACTAGCATTATTCTGACACAGGTTATAATCACAATATAGCTATCCTTTTTCTTTGCTGTTAATTAGTCTTCTGGCTATTAAAATGATTAATCTGATTTTTAATAGTATAACTGCACTTTCTTTTTCTGACCTATTCCCTGAGCAGTCATCTGTTCATAGCACAAAAAGAATTAAGTAGCTTAAGTAATAAGATTTAAGGACTGCTCTTCTCTCAGATACTTGCACTGGTATTTCCCATTTGGGTTATGAATTTGGGCATGGAGTTTTTGTGTAATGCGTGTTTGAGAGGAGCAAACAACTTGTTGCCTGGTAATTTCTGAAATGACTTCAGTCTACCTCTTATAAGAAAGTGGTGCAAGATGCTTATGTCCAGTATGGGCATTCATGTATGTAAGCAGTACACCTGTCGAGGCAACAAGTTTAAATTTTCCCAATATAGATATAGCTGAAGACCTGCGTTGCTTTGTTCCTTTTTTGGCGCTTTATGATCAAAATATACTGTGTGATAGAGAAGGAAGGAAAGAGGAAATAATTTCCAATATTTGTAAAACTGCTATTTACTTATTAGGTGAAATATGAGCTAAGTTATCCAGATCTTTGTGGTATTTTAATTCTAAAAATCTGTAATTTAGACCTGTAAAAATGGTGTCCTTTTGACAAATTATTTTAAAAAGCAAATGTTTTCACTTCAGATTGAGTTATTTCATTATAATTGATCATCCTAGCTATTTGAAATTTTTCACTTCTTTGCCCGGCTGAATCTTTTTTCAGAAAGTAGGCCTGAAAAACTCCTCGAGCTCTGAATCTCTCAGAAAAAAAAGTTTGTAATTTTGAAAGCAGTAACTTTAATATTTCCATATTCTTTTTGTATGGTTACAAGGACCATTGCTGTGCTCTGCAGAAAGATGGGCTTTACCGCTGTAAAGCTAACCTGGCTAATGCAAACAGAATTACATCCATCAGTGTGGGCCAAATAGCTTTGGTGAGGACTACTGTGTTTATTAGCCCAAGCAGAAATGTATCTTAACACAGCTATACTGCTTCTTATGCTCTAATTTCTCTCTTTGTGCAGCACTGCGTACTACCTCGAGCAATTTAAAAATTCTTACTTTCCAATCTGTGCAGGAAGTGTCCAAGGCATCCTTAGCAGAACGATGCTCTTGATAGAGACCGATGGTACTACTAGGTGGTTTAAAGTTTCTGTTTAGTTTGTGGTCGTTAATATACTTGATTTGATCTTGTGCAGCTCATTTTAAGCACTATTGTGCCTGGGCTCTACTGAAAGAGATTTTTTGTGAAGTGATGTTCTGCCCTACTTAAATAGATTGAATACATTGTGCTTACTGAACTACAAAATTCTGTCATCGCCCACAGTCCCGGGACCAAATGGCTGTGGCTGAGGCGTGGTCCTATTTATAAAGGCTGGAAATCAGGTCATTGTCTCTTTTGTTTACTAATGTGTATAAACTTTGGTTTCCATGAGTACTCATGCTTGAGATTTTGAAATTTGCTTTTGTGTTAGCATTTTTTTTTGCCTATAAAAAGCAATAGTATGAATGCCAGCAGAAAGAAAACCCTAACATCCACAATTTTAGCTCTCTTTGATTTTTGACTTTTGGGGTTTGCTCAAACATAGTCATGTGAATGCGAACTATGACTCTTGAAACAGAAAAACAATGTTTTTTGCATGACCTCTTGTGAACCTGGGCTGTTCTGTTTCTTCCCACTTCAGTGCTAACAATAGATACTGCTTAGGGTTGCCTCTGCTTCCCTGTTTAGTCTTGTCTACAGCATGATCTTTATCTTCTGCTATGAATTGCGTGAATCTTTGCACTGCTGTGTTGCTTCTCACCATTTGGATTTTATGTCTCTGTGATACTAATGTTAAGCCTGAAAACAAGCTATTCCTTTAGCCTTTCCACAGTGGAAATATCTGCTTCACTTTGGAAGCAAAGTAGTGACATTTACAGCTAGCACTGGAGGTGCATGTCAGTACATCCTCAAACCTTTGCTAAATTTTCCTGTTGGAAATGGTGTCCTACTGAGCCCACATTGGAAGGTTTAAAGATAAAGAAGTATTTTAGTGATCAAAATACTTCACTTTGGTTCAGAGGAATCTGTATGTGACTTAAAATGAGCTATTAAAAAGAAAGGGAACAGAAAATGACCTATGTATTTATACCACAAACATGAATTAGTTAAATATTTCTGGCGTAGCAAAAAGGAACATGATGAGAATCTTTTGTCCTAAGGGGAAAAGAACATGTGTATTGTAATTGTTTTTAAAATTTTTCTGCCACCATTCTGCTATTTATGGTTTTGATTTGGATGACCTTATTCTGGCAGTGTATTTATATAGACATTGCAAGCTACAAAAGATATTTTATACATCTGAAGACTCTGGCAACTGCTCTAATTTGAGACTTTGAATATTTCTGTATTTCCTTGTCACTACTGATTAGTAAATTAGCATTTCTTAGTTGGTAGCTTTTCTCTGAACTGCGTGAAAGAAATGTCATGTCATTATAATGTCGAGGACTCAACGAACAGAGATAGCATAAATGAAGTGATAAATTCACTATACACA